CTAAGCATAACTGTGTTTTTCCATATTGCTTTCTTACTTCTGGACACGTTCTTATGCATTTTATATATTTTCTTCTTCTGGAAACGAACTATGTTTCTGTAACACATTCTTTTCATTAATTGAGTTATTACTACATTTAATAATCTATTTGTGCTTCTTTACCCAGTTAAGATCTGCTGTAATACTTTGAAAGTCAACTGTTTAGTCCTCTCTCAGCCTGAGCATGATTTACAGGTTTACTAAAAATTTAAATCATGTCCCACATACTGAAATAGTTTTAAAAATATTTTAAAACTAATAATGTTCATGCAGTACAGTGAGAAATTATTTTGAAATGTTATTATGAAGATATATAACAGGATATTAAAATGGACTTTGGAAAAGTAAAATTTTAATTTAAAGGACAGTTTTAGATTTATAAAATCATTATGAAGATAGTACAGAGAGTTCTCCTATACCCTACACTGTTGCCCCTATGATTAATATCTTACATTAGATGGTACATTTATTAGTTAATGAGCCAATACTGATACCTTACTGTTAACTAAAGTCTATACTTATTCAGATTTCCTGTTTTCACCTGCAGTTCTTTTTCGGTGCACAGTCCCATCCAGATTACTCATGACATTAGTTATCATGTCTCCTTAGGCTCCCTTTGTTTGTTTCTCAGGCCATCTTTGTTTTTCTTCACCTTGACAGTCTTGAGGATTATCACTCACATATTTTGCAGAACGAAAATGGACTCTTAAATATTAATTTCATTTTAAAACTTTACATAAAAATTTCAAATATACACAAAATTAGCAAATAGTATAATGAATCCCCACATATCCATGATGCAGCTTCAATAACTATCACCAGTTTACTTTACTCTATCTACACTGTCCTACCCCAAACCCGGAGGACTTTAAAGCAAGTTCCAAATATAATTTCATAGCACACTTATGTATTTCAGTACATACCTCTAACATCTAACAGGTAAGGCCTTTAAAAAATACACTCACAATGAATGGCAACATAACAAAGTTAAAGACAATTCTGTAATATTTAGCAGTCAGACTGTCAAATTTCCCCAACTGTCTCAAAAAAAAGTCTTCTTAAATTTATAAATTCAAATCAATATCCAAACAAGGTTTATATATTGAATTCTGCTGACTTGAAAAAATGGGGCTTTTGTCTCAGTTTTAGCTGAGACCAGAGACTGAAAACAAAACAATAGTTACACAGTCCCCCCAAACGGGTGTTTAAAACCGGTTTTAAGGTCCTGAGTCCAACACTCACCTCAAACTTGAGAGGGTTTCCTCGGAGAAAGTTACTGGGGAGCTGCGGCTTTTCCCTCTTTGCCTCTCCCACCATGGGAAAGAGAAATGGGGTGTTTTCCCTTCACTACATGCCTAATGAGAGAGTCTTTAAAACAAGCACTTTGCGGGCTTGGCTTTTATTCCTTGAAGCTAGAAGGGACTAGTATTTGACCCAGACCTGCGGAAAGTAGAGGGCAGGCTGTGGCTGGGGATACCCGAATAATGACTACCAAGTGGAGCAAAGAGAGGGGGTCAAACTCGGAGCAAACTGTGACTTCTGTCAGTGGTAGGGCAGACATATGAGCCCCCGCAATTAGATGTGATGGGAAGGAGGGATCTGGTCCCGTGGTCATTTAAAAAGGGATCCCATCCATACAGTCTTCTACCTGGGGGCTACTGTCTCTCAGCAGAAAGAGGCTGGAGGTGTAGCATTCAATAAGAGAAGCTGGAATGGGGGTGAGTGTGCACAACTAAAGTACAGGCATTGTCCGTCAAGGGAGTAAAAGTCAGAAAATCCTCCTGGAGAAAAGCTCTGAGTCCCCACAGAAAGGATCCTGCAAAAGAACTAATCAGCTTTGATTATCTGCCAATCCCGGAGGGCCCCAAAGTAGCTACCAACTCTTATCTAGGAAGGGGGAAACTAAAGCATGGGGAGGAGTCGACCATGCCCTCTCCCACCCGTGCCTAAGCAGTACCACGCTGGGAGAGCAAAGCAGCTTTAAGGTTAAATGTATTCCTGAGTTCTGAATATCAAATTGGACTGTGATAAAGAAAAATTGGTTCAAATTTGGGTCAGAATTTCCTTCTGGGAAGAAATATGCTTTCCTGATAAACTGCTGAAGTAATTTTCTGATAAACTGTAACGAGATTAAAGCTTCTTCTGGGAAACCAGCCACTTCTTCAAATGACTAACAGTTGGGGGTCTAACGACCTTGAATCCAGTTGAGTAATAATTATCTAACCATTTCTTTACCTGTAAAGTGTTCCTTCCATGAGGAAATCATCGAATTGGTTTGTTTAGTCCTCTTCAATTGTGAAAGTTAATTATTTGCATCCTGTTGAGTCCTGCTCTTTCAACATAATGATTACAAAAATATTTCAGGGGTAGAAATATGTTGATGGATAAAGTAATTTTCATTGTCTCTGAAATCGATTATATACCTCAATACCCAATTTCTTAGAAATCACTCTAGGAATCACTCTCAACAGACTATCAAGACAAATTACAGAGATTTACAAAGACAAATTACAGAGATTTACAGGTGGTACCTCCTCAGTTTAAATGTCATTGGACAGAGAGACTGTATTATCTGTCTGTGTTTCACAGGTTCTGGGACCTGGTCATTTTTTACACCCATATCATATAAGCAGGACTTTCCTTTTCTAGGTATTACCTTAAACATGATCCTGCATCACATACGAATTATTTTAAAGGGTTCAAGGAAGGGAATGATATGACTAGGGTTTAACTTTAACCGGCAGTAATACAAAGCCCAATTATTCCAAAGCTATTGGTCAGGTTTCAAAATTAAAACTTTTCATCTAATTTAACCATGTTTTATATGTGAAGACATCTGTTTGCATCAGAAGCCAAATAATTATATACTCATACAGTGTTGGTAGTGATATGTTTAAATTGGTATAGCCCTTTGGAAAACGATTTGGTAATACGTATCAAGAACAATACATACTTGTATCCTTTGATTTGGTAGTCTAACTTCTACCCTAAATAATTAAAAAATATGTGAAGGAAGCTACAAGCAGGAATATTTCCTTCACAATATTTTTCATGGTAGTGAAAAATTAGAAGCAACCTGCGTATGTATCAACAGGGACATAGGAGGTAAATTTATGGTTATATCACTTAATAGAATATTGTGAAATTAATAAAATATTCATTAGAAAAACTATAACATGGAAAAAGAAAGAATAGAGTTGAATTTATACTATGATTTTAAGTACTTAAAACATATAAGAGAATACACAAAAATGATAAAAGTTGTGTTAGGATTATGGAGTTTTTCCTTCTGTTTTCAAAAATGTCTCTAATTTTGCACAAATGCTTTTGTTGTTTAAAGTTAGCTTAAGCATTAGCAACATTTGCTTTAAATTTCTCAAGTCTTAGAATCACATATTATTGGCAATCCATGCTGAAATGGTCATAAAAATTTCTGTTTGCTGATGTTCAGCTGTTGGCAGACACAGTCAATTTTTTAGCTAAGTAAATGTCAATTGTTGCCATAGCACCTCTAAAATTACAATAAAGCTACATTATAATTGGCAGGGGTACTCTTGGGTAAATGTGGAGAAAAATCAAAAACTGATTAAGAAAAGACAAATGTCAACCTTCCCAGGCAGTTGACAGGATCAGTGACAATCAGGGACAGGACCTAAACTCAGTTTGAGGTTTTACTTCTTGGAAGGTGCAGCACCAGTGGGGAAGATACTAAATATCGAATGATATCTGGTAAGTACTTGCACAGGTGATGGCACAGGATAGGAGAAGATGTGGTAATCGAAGGTATTCCAGATAAAGTAGATCCAAGAGCATGGTTTTTTTGTTTGTTTTTAAGATCAGGATGTGTTCAGAGAACAGAATAATCCAGTGTCTTGACAATAGGTTACCTATAAACTAAAGGAAGGGTAGAAGCAGGTAATAAGATTAGTGGAGGCTGAAGAACTTTGGTTTAATTCTGAATACAGTGTAGAGACTTTGAAGATATGTCACTGAAAAGAATGACAGACCTATGTTGATTCTAGGGTCTGCAAGGAATGAACAGGAAGGGAGATGAGAGGAAGAGGTTAAGTTGTAAGGTCTCTGCAATAAACCAGGATCTTCATTACATAAAATTACCTGGATTAGCCCTTCCAAAATATATTTTACTTTAAAAAGATTTAACCACATTATAACCAAGTTTTAGATGATTTCTGGCGCTCATAGAATTGGCACACAATATTGAATCAGATTGCAGAGGATTATTTTTACTCTGTGGCCAGATGCAGAGAAATATGTAAAGGTATTGAAGCCAATAAATATGTTGAAAAAGGCAAATTCTCACAAGTAAAAGGATTTGGAATTCTAGAAGGCAGCAGCTTATCAATAGCTGTATCCAGACTCTTCGGGGTACTGGGTTGCTTTAAATTAAGATTTCACAATAGCTCACCAGGATGTAAATTTTTCTAAGTATAAACTACTTTTAACCTTCTAGGCAATTGGGGTGTTGCTGAACAATAATCAAGACCATAAAAAAAGCTGTATGAGTTAACAGCAGACAAGATTTTTCTTTTTTTCAATTTATTTTTTGCTGTTTCCACCAGCATTAAAGCGTTTAGATTTTTAGAGTTCCTGGTCCCAGAATATATCATAATCCATTTAGATAACGGATTCAGGCCCAAAGCCTTTCTGACTCAGTAGAGAATAGGATGCAGATATCACCTTAAGAACTGGTTCAAAATCGCCTGACAGATTTGGCAATTACCTGAACATTTAATAAAAATGTATTCACTAACCAAATACCCTCAACTATCAAGCTAGCAGGTCTTTCATTTCAAAAGCAATCATTTCGGCGTATCAAACTATTGACATCTGGGCAGAGCCTCCGGCTTTTATTTACAAGCGCTGAGAAAGGAGCACTGTGGTTCAACAAATCCCAGGGACACGGAGCGGGCATCCCTCCCGGGAAGCGAGTCCAGTTCCGCCAGGAGGGAGGGGCAGGGAAAGGAGCCCGGGCGCCTGGGGCCGCGTGGCCTCTTCCTTCCAGGCGTCCCGGGGTGCCCTCACTCCCAGTCCCCGCCGTCTCATTTGCCGCCTTCCGACGCGTGACCCCAGCGCGCTCGCGTCCCGGGCCGGTGACAGGCGCGGGGTGCGCCAAGCGGTCCCATGTGCCCCCTCCCTCTCGCGGCCGCCGCAGTCACCGCGCCCCGAACCCCGCTCCGACTCCTCGGCAGAGGGCTCGCCGCCGCCATGTCTACCGCCAGGCCACTCAAATCCGTGGACTACGAAGTGTTCGGGAGAGTGCAGGGTAGGGGACCCCCCTACAGTGGGAGATCTAAGGTGTTAGGGGAGGAGGAGGAGAAAGCTGAGAGGAACACATCCCTTGATAAAGCCCCCGCATCGTCGTGGCCGGCACTTCCGCTCGGCCATGACACAGCAGCCGCGGGTGGGAAGGAGGCGAAGGGCGCATGCGCAAGAGAGCTGGTTGGGTGGTAGCGGGGGCGGTCGGAGAGGAGCGGAGGATTGGGATGCGGGAGAGGCTGGGGGGAGGAGGGATCGCGGGGCTCAGGGTGCGGATCGCCTAAGGCGGGGTGGGGGCGAAAAGAAGTCGGGGAGGGAGAAAGAGAGGGCCCTTGAACTAGTGGTCCCCGTTACTTGCCACTGAAACCACTGGGCTTGACTTTGAGTTTCGTTTCAGGAAGGACAATTAGATGGTGTTTGAAGGTTCACTTTGTCGGAGATTTTTTTTTTTCCCTGTGTAGCTCCTGGGAGAATTTAGTTATCTAATTTTTGATTTATAATATGTTTAAATCGCTGCAAAGGATGTACTGTCTGGCTTATTGTAACTATTGTTATTTAATCACTGAAATTTATCCAATGGAATACAAATACGGCAGTGATTTAGTATTTACCAACATTTATTCAAAGTACAGATTTTTAACAGTGGGAAATTTTGCATCGTACCTTTTCTCTTTGAATTTGATTTCCATTCCATTTCTCTCACAGAATTTTATCCCACTGTTATGCTTGAGAGTTTCTGATTGGCCCTAACCAACCACACTTTACTGCAATATGTAGGTACATACATATGTATGTGTGCACATTCATATATTTTACATATATTTTCTTAATTTCCTTTGACTACAAAGCTGTGTTCATTTTTTTTCTTCTGGCTTGAGTTACAATTGTGATTATTATTAGAATACAATTGATGAAAATCATATAGATACATTTAAAAGTATGATAAACATTATTCAGTTTTAAAGGTAAATTTGTATTGGAAATTTATTTCTTAAGGAGAAAGCTGGGGGTGTTTTTGGAACCTTGATTAAAGGAAGGATTGGATTATCCTTGTACTCTAGTGGTTTTTACACTTTGGGGCAGTGTACCAGGGTAAGATTAAAGATGGGAGAGAGTATGCCTTTTGTAAAGAGATGGGCCTTTCTTTCAAGAGTGACTGTGAAGAGGGAAGTGGGAAAGGAGAGTCACAGCAGACTACAGGTGCCTTCTCAGGCAGCTCAGTTTTAGGGATGAATAGACACGGAAGTTGAAGACCTGGAAGTTGATTTCTTAAAATTATCTGTGCTTTGTACCCTTCAGCATATCTTTGGACACGCCCAAGATTATGATACTCTAGATTGAAAATTGCCACAATAGGTCATTCAGACACATGGCATAAAATATGAAAATGATGGCAATCACCTGACAAAATATTTGATCTACTGGACAGAGATGGCAGTGTAGTTAAGGAGAGAGAGAGAGAGAGAGAGAGAGAGTGTGTGTGTGTGTGTGTGTGTGTGTGTGTTGTATGCACATGGGTGGCATTTACTGGGGATGTTCCATGTGCTCAGCATCTTACTGTTATTTACTTAAGCCTCATCACAATTTTGTGAGATATATGCCTTAATCCTGTGTTAACAATGAGAAAACAGGTAGAGAGGGTCAGTAACTTGGACAAGTGCTTAGTCGACAAATGGGATTTGATCCTTTATCTTTCTAACTCGAAAACCTGTACTTTTCCATTATGCGGTGTTTTCTGATAATACATAATGTATTTTTATTGATTTTAACTATATAATTGCACTTTTATCCATATGGTGGTCAAATGGTATATGAAAATTGACTTTTGGCAACAGTACACATAGAAGAAAGAGAAATGTGCTATACATAAACAGTTGGGTTTAAAAAAATCAGCTTTAGGGCAGTAACTCCTATCGTTTGCAGTACATTAAATGGCAGAGAGTACTACTGATTTATCAAGGCATAGTATGTGGAACAAATTAACAATCACATATTTGCACACATGCAGTGACATTAGCTGAGAGTTTGGGATGTGCCAAGCTCTAGTGTTCGCTGATTTATATGCATTGACTCATTTAGTCCTCAACCCTCTGACTTCAGCCACTTTCTTCATTTAATGAATGATGCAGTTGAGGTGTAGTGGAGTAAATTTCCCAGCTCACACAGTAAGTTAAGTAGTAGTACTGGGGTTTCAACCTTGACAGTCTAATACCAGAGCCCATGCTCTTAATCACTGTATCCTATTGATTCTCCTCTCAGTAGCCTTTCCACCATTATTTTGCTTTCCTCCTAAGCTGTGCACTGAACACATACATACCCTGAAGCAGGACTTTTGGACCTGGCCATCTGGACTGTGCCAGATGATGCTGAGGACATTTTTATGGTCTTTTTGGGTCTAAGGGAGTTTAACCTGGTCAGTAAGCAGTCGGCACATTCAGAACTACAGCCTCTGACTGTCTCTCTGTTGCTAGCTGGCACTGTCACTGTGGCTGTATGTCAGTCTATGTCTCTCTGTGTCTCACAAAACTGCTCACAGTTTTCTCATGAATTACCTAAGAAATAAATACAAACCATTAGCTTTTTGCCTGAATCATAATGATTATGTAGAAATAATTGACAATAAAAATGAAAATTTTTAATTTTAATAATGTAAAATGGAGAATAAAAGAGACTCTTAAAAGTATGGAATAGTAAAATCTTAGTGAATGCTAGCTTCTTAGAATTAATAGCTATGAAAGTAAATTTACAATGGAGGAAGCTGTAATTAGGAGCATTTGATATGGACAAAATATAGATTGATAAATAAAATTGTCATTAAAACATTTAAATGAAAAATATTCACAATGAAAACTTTCAATGACATAAAAATGAACATGGGAAAAACAGAAAATGACTGAACTGTTCTGATGGAAATTTGATCAGTGAATTAAATTAGCTTATGGAGGTTTTGACAGAAAATATTTTCTAACCCAAAATGAGGTAGATTGTTACATTTAGTACGTTCAAATTTAAAACATCCTTGGTGATAAAGTGGTAGTCAAAATGTTCTAGGGGTCAACTGTCCTCTGCCTTGTTCTCAAATACACTAATTTTCAAACAGATTGTGTTCCAAGAATTAGTTTGTAAGTTGGTTGTTTGAAATTCAGGAAAATAAACTTACAGGAATAATATTAGAAATAGTGGGTTCACTTCTTAGGCCCTTCTGCAAAGTCTACTCATAGACTCATAGAATTCTTGACAAATAATCAATAAAAAAATCTATAATGAGAATAGAAAAGTGTTTCATTTGAGCCAAACTGAAGATTATGGCACGGGAGACAGCCTCTCCAATAACTCTGAGGAACTGCTCCTGAGAAGCATGGTTTTCAGCACAGTGTTATATCTTGTCGGAACAAAGAACATTAAGCAAATTAGGGGTACATCCCGACAAGGTTTCAAAAAAACAGATCAGCATGTACACAGCGGAGGGAGTCTTGTCATTGAAGGAGTGTCAGCATTGGTGTCCCAGAAAGGGAGGCATTTAAATCTTTATTTTTAACATGGACATTCTTTACTTCCAGTCAATGTGCCTTTTTCTTTGATAATGAAAGCAGGTGTAAAATGAGTTAAATTAGCTTATGGAGCTTTTTTTTTTTTTTGATAGGCTACAAACAGGCTGTTCTACTTAGCATAAAATTCGAGTTAACTCATACATAAGCCAGAATGACTTCCCCATACCCCAGTATGTGAACATTTCTTCCATTAGGCTGCTGCTGCTCTCCACTGCTGTTTCCCTTCCTCTGTTTTTTTAAATAATTTTTTTTTGGTTTGAGAACAGTTTTAGATTGATAGGAGGGTCGGAAAGATAATATAGAGAGTTCTTGTATTCTCCACATCATTTCCTCTGTTATTAACATCTTACATTAGTATGATACATTTGTCACAAGCAGTGAGCCAATATTGATTCATTATTATTAACCAAGGTCTATACTTTATTCAGATTTCCTTAGTTTTTACCTAAAGTCCTTCTTCTGTTCCAGGATTCATCCAGGCTGTGGCATTACCTTTAGTCATCCTCTCCTCTTAGTCTCCTTTGCGCTGTGACAGTTTCTCAGATTTACCTTGTTTTCCATGACCCTGGCGGTTTTGAGAAGTACTTTGAGGCTAGGTACCTTGTAGAATACTCCCAAATGAGGATTTATCTGGTATTTTTATTATGATGGGACTGAGGTTGTGGGTTATTGGGAGGAAGACCGCAGTGGTCGAGTGCCATTCTCGTCGCACAGTATCACGGGTGCACACTAGCAACGTGACTTATCACTGTTGATGTACACCTTGATCACTTGGCTGAGATAGTGTTTGTTCACTGATAAGTTACTCTTTTTTCCCCTCCCTTTCCACCCTCCATTTTTTATCTTCACATTCTTAAGAAGCTCCGTGTTTTTTCCCACCAATTTCTGTTGCTTTGGGGGCTTTGGGATGAGAGATAGGGGATTAAGAGACTGGCTCTCTGTTTTTAGAGTGTTTTTAACTATGGCTTGACCTATAATGTTCCTGTAAATGTTTATACAATTACATCTAGAATAATAGAATCTGAAAATTTGAAAGGGAAATTGATTAAGCTGTGTATAGATTTTTTGATGTTTTACTAACTCTCAAGTGACTATTAAGGTAAAATACTCAGGTAGAAATGAATTGTGGTGATTGGTTAGTTTCCTTGTGCATTGGAAATTCAGTAGTTTGTTTTTGACAGCATTAACTCAGATTTAGAATAGGAATATCTTATTGGAATACAGGAATAAATAGCAGTTTTCTGTAAGATTACTTAAAATGAAAATTGGGATGAATTACTAAATAGCTTTGTGAGACGCCACATGATTTAGGGGTACACATTTTTCTTTATGTAGACAGGTCAGTGGAAAAGCTGTTTTAGAGGTTGAAAATTTTAGTACATTAAAGTCAAGAGACATGTTTAACTCTAATTCCCTTTCTCATCTTTTTCCTATAGCATTTCATTCGTAGTTCTGT